ATGGGCTCTGTCGTGGTGGCAGCCTGTAACTCGAGACAACAACCCTCAGATCACCGCGAAAAAAATATAGAACTAGAGGAGGAAGAGAAGGGGGGACAGGGGGGGCGACGACGGGTGTGCCCCCACCCTCTCAGTCCCCGGGCGAGCGGCCAAGTGCCAGGCCAACTTAAGGAAGGGTTTATTTCTAAACATCCTAAAACCCCGGGCTCTCGGAGTCATAAGTCTACGAACACGGCAGCGGCATGCGGACGCTCGGAATTAAAAACCCCACCCCGAGTTTCATCCTGAAACGCGGGACCTGAATAAAAATAAATATAAAAAGGGGAGGGGCTAATTAAAATATCAAACAAAACACTCCCCAGTAAATAGAAATGCTTACAATGCGTCATTGTTCTTGGCCCGTTTAAGAGACAATCATAATTACGACCCAGATAACCCACTTCTGTGGTATCCTAGTGTGAGAGGAGGGGATTTGGGGGGTGGGAGGTAGGGGGGGTAAGAGAGGGGGGGCAGATAAACAATAGCGCCGAGCGGTGCAACGCGTGGCCATGGCCCCTGCGTTGTCGTGAAAGGAAGTCGCTCCCAAGCCGTTTATCACTTCATTCACGGCCACTGTGGGGCCGCCAGCGCGCTACAACGACACGGCCGAGGGCGCAGAGGGGTGGATCATTAGAAAAAACAATAAATATATGAAATAAAACAATAACAATAAAACCACATCAGATAAAGAAATGGGATGGCAGCAGAATGTGAAAAACCCATCGGGCCAGATTCCCCATGGTAGTGTGGAGAAAAGTCCACACTACCATGGGGAGAGAGAACATGAAAACTCCAAATATACAGGTGTCGGGGTCACAATTGAACCGACGACCTGCATACCAGGCGAGGGAGTTACATCTCACCAGCGCAAATCTGGTGGGAACGCATCGTGGCTGGGCGGATCGCTGTTGGTGATGGAAGACGTCGGGCAAAGCCCTCGGCAAAAAATCGGTCGAAAATGAAAGCTTCACTCATCAAGAATAAGGGACACCCGTCTGTCCATCCGCCCATCTGTCACATGGCCATTAAAGATGGAGAAACGAGTTCGGTGTCCATGCAGCCACAATTCTCATCCCAAGAGAATTGAGGGAGCACGGAGGAGACATGGAGTCCACCCTGAGAAACACTTCCTTCTTCTCGCTCAACGTAGAGAGAGGACAGAGAGGAGTCGCGAGATTGTTGCTAACGGGATTGCTGCAGTCTTTTTTGTCACATAGTGTAATTCGAGATGTCTCTTGTAAAAATGCGCCGGAGTGGCGTTTTCACGTCAACACGCCACATCCAACTCGTGGTGCCATTCGTGGTCTCGTCAATGTAACCACCATGCAATGACAACTGTGGTTGTCCCAGCGAACCAACTAGCAAGCACGCAGCAATGGCGACGCCTTGCCAATAATCAGGACCACGGGGGCATCACGGCCAATGCTGGTGATGCCGCCACACCGTGCCATCGCGTCCTGCTCTCTGCCACCTCCTGCGGATCTCCCACGCAGTCAACACCTGAACCTCCACGGTCCCAGCTACTGTAGCACCGTGATGGTGAGATTTTACCTACCTCGCCTGATATGCAAGAGGTCATAGGTTCGATCTCAACCCTGACACCCGTATATGCCTCTCTCTCCGTGGTCGTGTGGATTTTTCTCCGGGTCGCCCGGTTTTTCCCTCCACATTTAGAATCAACGTACGTTTAGAGTATTTGGCTACTGCTGTAAATTTCCACGTGATAAGCCACTTCTTTAAGCTATCATTTAGGTAGCCGGGTCGCTTCTGAAAAAGATCAATATTGCTCAGTGGGCCTTACCTGGTAAAGTATTTTTTTGGTTTATTGTAGAACCTGGCCTCGTGTAAAAACAACTAAATGCAGCATCATTGAACAACGACGGTCACTGCATCACGTGCATTCAGATGCGCTTCTGCAGCCGTCTGGAACGTTCTTCCGATATTCGGAAGCCGCTGGAGCTATTCCACTTTTAAATCATCTAGATTGACGAACTCATTTTTTTAGAACTGCTTTTTCTGTTTAGTTTGTTATCTATCCTTCCCCTGCACCTACGATTTGTGTGGTTGGTTACGTACGGTGCGAAAGAAGTTCAACATACGTACATCGTCAGTGTGGCTTAGGGCGCGCGGGCGGGGTCCAGGGGAGAGTGAGAGAGCACTAGTGCATGAAACGCAGCACGGGGCGCTTGTGAATAAGGGGGGGGGGGGGGACAGCTGCACAGCGCCGCAAAAGTGAAACCCGATGCCTGTGTAAATAAAATGTCAAGGGATAAATAAATTATTAATGGAAAGCCGCAACACAACCAACCCCGCCGCCTTTGTTGGGAGTGAAACGGCGGTGGCGCACGTTTGTCGCGGGGGGGGGGGGGGGGCTCCAGCCGCCGAACAAACAGCGATCTTGTCAAGGCACGCCGAGGGCGCCACTCGCACGACAGCCAACGGCCCGAGTGGAGCTGCCGTCGCGCTCACAATCAGAAACTTTATTTATCCTGGAGAAATCCGATGAGCTGTGAAACTCTTTTTTTTTAAAGGTGTCCAGCGGTTTCACAGATATTCAGACGGCCCGGCCAGGCAGAGGAGGATCCCGCGGTCGCCACCTCTCTTTATTTCATTATTTAACCAGGTAAGGCCCCACTAAGCTATATCGCTCTTTTTCCAGAAGCGACTTGGCCATCACAAATTATAGCTCAACGAAGTGGATTAGCATCACGTGGAAATGTATCACAGCCAAACACTGTAAACGCGTGACATCGATTCCATATGTGCAGGCAAAAATCGGAGGCTACATCCTGTGCAAAAGAAGTTCAACATATATACATTAGGCCGGTTGATTACGTACGGTGTGAAAGAGGTTCAAAACATGCATGTTGACTTCTCGTCAGCCCAAGGGTTGGTGACTGGTGCCTCGCAAATTAACGTGCCCTCCCTGAGCTGCCACCCGAGCCAGAAAAAGAGGGCAGAAAAATGAACCTTATGGCGGGTCCCCGGGGTCTCATAAGCCCCCGGCTCTTGCATAAACTGTGTTGCGACGTCATTTTATGTCTGTTGAAGGCGAACGATATGGCAATCTATTCCTCACGAGGAGCTCTACACGATGCGCTAAACAAAGTTTTGTTTATTCTGCGCATTCGTCCTCGCTGCGCTTGGACATGACATGACAACAGAATGATCCACGCCAGGTGGGTCGTGGCATTTATGTGCGCGGTGGGACGGAGTCGTCAAAAATAAATAAATTAATTACAATTTTGACTTCCGTTTATTCAGGACCCCCGGGTCCCGCCATAAGGTTAAAATGTCCGTGCACCCAGCAACCCAGGCGGAGAGTCTGAAAACAGCCCCCTCCCCCCTCTCCGTCCATCCCCGCGCCCGCCACCATGCAAACACCGGCAAGCACTCGAGGCCGCAGAGAGAGAGGCCCGGGGCGCCTCACCACGAGGGTTATTGGTGTCTGGAGCGCGCGGTGACCTCATCCCTTTTGAGTGGAGAGGACTTGAGTGGGAGAGAGTGGGCAAGAGAGGCCTCACAATGAGGACCAGAGAATGATGGGGTTATCGGAAGGGGACTGGTGCCCTTCTTTTCCTGCTCCCTCAATCCCCCCATGCCAGTGCCCCCCCCAGCCTCCTCAGTTCCTCCGTTACCCCTCCGCGCAACCCACCCCGAGCCGCCGTCCTCCCCACCTCGCAGCACCATGCCAACGTTCTGCCGTTCTTCCGCCACAATTGCTTTGACCCGAGTGTCGGGGATCCCCATTGTTTATTTTCAGTCACAAATTAAGCCCGGGAGTGGTGGCAGCATTAGCGAGGAGGCACGAACACGCATGCGCACGACCATGCGCACGCACAAGGAGGCACCTGCAACAACTGCTCTTCTCGCTGGCGACGTTTCTCAGCAGAACCCGAGTTCCTGTGACCGTCGCCGCTCAGAGCCCCCGTATCCGCTGGAACCCTCTCCCTGCCGGTGGCCCCAGTGAGCGTGCAAGGGAGCTTTACAAGTGCGGTGGGGGGGTTGGGCACGGTGCCGTGCGGGGGTGCCATCTGCCAAAACGATCGGGGGCCGGAGCCACTCGCTCTCCCCCGCCCCTGCTCGCTCGCTCACTAGCTCTCCCCGTACCTCTGAGTGCAATCACGGAGCGCCGTGTATAATCTCGACAGCTGTCCATTGTGGTGGCGGGGGGAGTGCCAACGATTGCCGTGGCAGAGGGAAGCGTGGCAGGGCGCCGCATCGGCCCCCGCTCCCCCGCACGATTGGTGGAGGTTTCCTCCGCGGCGCTCGAGCCGAATACGAGCCCGGACGAGCGCCGTCACATTGACTTTGAGCAGGCTCAAAGGGGCAAGGGCCCAAGGCCAAACGCGAACCGATGCGGAGACGAACCACGGCTCACATCCAGCTGGTGGGTGGCAGTACACATCCTGGCAAGTTTCAAGAGGGCCGTATGGGCAGTTCGTATGGCGCCAGGTTCCGGAAGCCTGCTTCTGATCAATGCTTTAATGATAATAAGAGCTGGAAAACCTCACCCTTGAGCACCCGATTGAAACCAACACTGATCGGAATAATCAAGAGATAGACGGAGGCAGAGTAGGGACAGTTCTGATAATCTCTTCCCAGGGATCACTGCCACTTTCAGAAAACCGTTACAACACCAGTGCTTGAGTTGCGAGGGCAAGCAACCCTAAACGGACAAGTGTGTGGGATCAAGGCTGAGGCCCAAGTGGTGGTGAAACCCTGACACCCCCAATGTTCAGCGAGCCATCAGAAACATGTTTGGTTCAAAACATTACGTCAGTTTCCCTACAAAAATATATCATTCGTGCACACGCACACACGTATCCCTGCTCCACACACGCGCGTCCCTGCTCTACACACGTGCATGTCCCCGCTCCATACACGCAATGCAGTGCGTGGGCCCGGCGAACGGACAGAGCGATCAACAGACAAAGCGAGCGATCGGAGGGGACACTCACCACGCAGGCCGGGCATCCAGTGGAACTCGGTGCTGGACGTCTCCACGGTGGGGAAGGGAGCGCCACCGCCAACTGCGAGAGGGTGGCGGCACAAAAACCATTGCGTTAGGGGCGCCGCCAAGGCCCCTCATAAACGTACGGATATTTATAAAGAGTATATATACGGATAAAGATGATCCCGTATAGCCTTTTACAGACTGTTGGGGCAAGTGCTGTTAGCAAGTAGCATCGATGCCGGCACGGCACACAAGGGTGTGGGTGGCCAACACCACGCCCGGCCACCTTTGTCCCCCTCGTGGCAATGTTTATGCATGGCACCAGGTACTCATTTGAGGCCGAGTCAATCTAAGAGACCCAGTACCAGTTCATATACATATACACACACACCATATGTATCTCCTGGCAAACCCACCAAAGCCACCTCGTAATCCTGTGGGTTTGCGAGTCTACGTCAGCTGGAATACGCTTTGCCTCCTAACCTCGCACATCACAGGCGTGCCACCATCAGTCGTGGCATTTATGGTAAGCAGTGGCCCGCTTGACGCGGCAATTGATCGGTTTAATTTAGGGTGGGGGACTCTGTGTAGCCTGTGCTTGATGGCACGGGCACGAATTATCTGCCAGTTTGGAAGATTATCCTGCGGTTTACTGTCAAGAGACACGTGAAGATTATTTTCGCTCAGAGTGAAATTTATTCGTAGCTTTGCCCTCACAACTGTTGCCAAACCAGTTGAAGAATGCGTGTGTGTGTATGTGCTGTTTGTGTGTGCGAGTCGTGTGTGTGAGTGTGTGTCAGAGGACCGGTAGTGTAGTGGGGAGCAATAGTGTAGTGGTTAGCGCTGCGCTACGAACCCGGCGACCCGAGTTCGATTCCCGCTCACGGCCAACAGCAGTGACGATTATCTGAACCGGTCTTGTGCCTCCCCTAGGTCGACTCAGGCTCAAATAGTACCTTGTGTGGTGTGTAAATATCGCCACTGGAGAGACAAAGGCGGCCGGGCGTGGTGTTGGCCACCCACCCCCTCGTGTGCCGTGCCGGCCTTCATAGGTGCTCGCTAACAGCACTTGCCCCAAAAGTCCGTTGAGGCTATATGGGGGATCTTTGTACGTGTGCTGTTCTGTGTGTGCTACTGGCAGGCAGCAGTCTCCTCGTTCGGTTTCGTTTTGTGCGCCCTTTTCTTAGAACGCATCTACTACTACTACCGCATGAAGCTAGGTGGGGGGAGGTGGTTGACGTGGGTAGCTTGGTGGACAGTGGTGGTCGTAGTAGGTATGTAGTTGGTTGGTTGACTTGGCGGAGTCAAGAGTCAAATCTACGATTAATCCATCGCCCACGTCGTTATCTTCCATCATTATTTGATAGCGTGGCCCCGAGCAACAAAGCAACAAAAGCTCCCCAGCGTGGAGTCTCTTATCTCGCCGCTCTATCTGGGGGCACACTCAACAGTTTATAGCGAGCGGCACAGCAAATACATCCACACGTCTTTCGTTCACCCCACCCCATACCACTGCAGCAGCCAGATTAAGATCCGATCCGTGTTTGCACCACGCCTGGAGATCTCCTCACCTTGAAGCTTGGGCGACTCCGGCGGAAATCTGGTGTAGGGAGGTGGCGGCGAGTCTGTGGTGGAAGGGACCGGGGTCGAGGTTGGTTTGTTTGGTGGTTGAAGTGGGTTTGGTTGGTGGTTGTAGTGGTTGTTGAGGTACGTTGGTGGGTGAAGTGGGTTGGTGGGTGGGTTGTTCATAGTGAATTTGTGGTTGTAGGTTGTGGGTCGTGGTGGTGTAAGTGGGTTGGTAGGTGGTGGTGGTGGTGAGAGAGCAGGGTGTGTACGGGGGGGGGGGGGGCAGACATAAAGGCACGGTAAGGAGAGACGCATAAATAAATAGGAGGAACTCTTTCATTATTAAGCCTGCCGGCGGCAGTGGCGACATGTGCTCTGCGTGGAGACTCGCATGATAATTGCCCCAGGGCTGGCGAGAGACGGAGAAGGGAGAGATGGGGGGGGGTAGAGATGGAAGGGGAGTGGGGGAGGCGTGGGGGGAGGGAGGAGTAGGTGGGGTTGGGGTGGTTTGGGGGACACAGATAAGCGGCGAGTCCGTCTGGCGCCAGGCGTGCTGATCGCGTGCCCTCCCCCACGCATGCGCCAACACCCTCCTGGCAGGCGCGCCACGGGGAACGCGCCTCCTCCCTCCGGCCACTCCATAGCCCTAACCCCGAACAAGCTCCTAACAGCTCGCCCTCATTCTTAAACCGAGACTGGCCTCTCAACCCGAACCAAACAGCCGACCGCTGTGTAAACGCATGTCAAATTTGACACACGCAGCTTGGCAACCCTTACCCCGGTCCACCAAATCTCAACAGCCCCACAAATCTCACCAACCCCACCAATCTCAACAACCTCACCAAATCTCAACAACCTCACCAACCTCACCAAATCTCAACAACCCCACCAACCTCACCATTCCCACGTGCCATAGTCCTGGCAGTGCAACGCAGACTGCGCTGTTCGAGACTGGCCCTGCGTAAGTTTCCCCCCCCTACCCTCGATCGACTCGACGAGGAATAACGATGGGTCACCGAGCGTTGTTGGGCATGGGGAGACAAAGACGGTCGGGAAAGCGCGGTCACATTAAAGGGCGTTCGCTCGATAACCAAACACGCTATACTGTAGTACACTGTACAATATTGAATATCGCGAATTTATTTTATGTACTGCAAGTAATGAACGAAAATAATGCTCACATTCAGATATTCATGTCAGCCGGGTCTGTCCCATGTCGGCGATCCAGTCAATATATCCGTATCCCGGCACACCAAATCCAATACATGTCTAGCTATGGGCTGTGGCTAATAATATGCACGTGCCACCCACTTTCTTTCAGTCTTACCAGCTGACCTGGGAGGAAGTGCGTTTTGGAACGATCGATAAATGTGTTTGCCTTTAAAATTAAAAATATAATAGGCGAAGTTTCGGGAAATCAGCCCTTCATGATACCTAAATACATTTACTGTTGGTGGTGCGAGGTGGGTTGATGGTCGTAGTGAGATGGTGGTTGTAGAGGGTTGGTGTTTATAGCAGTAGGTTGCATAGAGGTTGTTGAGGTACATTGGTTGTTGAAGTGGGTTGCTAGGTGGTTGGTGGTAGTGGAGATCGCAGTGTGTGTGGATGGGGAGGGGCCATTGCCTGAAACGTCGCCTACACTTTTCCTTTCAAGGCTACAGCGTTATTGACGAATGTGTTGAGTGCTAGTTGTGAGATGTGCTTGTGCAACACTGTCAAAGCAGCAACAACGCCAAATAATGACAAATGTGATGCTAAGTCGGAGGAGGTGCAGTGATCAGTGATGGCACTGGTATCTCTCTCTCAGACGCGCCTCGTCTGGCACCGCTAGAGTTGCTATAAATAGTGCCATTTGTCTTTCTGCTGTTATTTACATTTTCCTCTGAGTGATAGTGTGTGCAATGTGTGTGTGTGCTCGTGCCGGCACTGTGGCGAGGCTGGGGAGGGTCGAGCGGACCGTCGTCCGTGATTAGCCAGAAGTGATGATGCTCATGACAAACAGCATCATTCAGTCCACGTGACCGATTTGTCAGCAGAGCAGCTATTGCTCGAACACATTTTGTTCACACCTCGTACTCATCAAACACACAATTATACACCCCCCACGGGCCACAACACACAAAGATCTCCGGTATAGAATTAACAGACGTTTGGGGCAAGCGCAGTACACGAATACACAACAACGCATATACATACATATATACATTACCAAAACAAAAGACACCGTAACATCAATTGCCAGTCACGCGGCAGTGTTCACAACAACGCATATACATACATTACCAAAACACAAGACACCGTAACATCAATTGCCAGTCACGCGGCAGTGTTCACAACACGCACCTCAATTATCAATCCACACTAACACACATTTTAGCCACAACACCATAAAACAAGACCAAATACAAAAACCGCCCCATATCGCCTTAAAAACTGTAGGAGCAAGCGCGGTTAGCGAGCACCTATGAAGGCTGTAAAAACCACACCAGGGGTGGTGTGGCAAACACCATGCCTGGCCACCTTTGTTTCCCCAATGCTGATGTTTAGGACCGGTTCAAATTAGCCACAGGTGTTGGCCGTGAGCGGGACGCGAACTCGGTCTGCCGGCTTCGTATCGCAGTGCTCGCTCTTCGCTCCACTACCGATCCCCATACCAAGACAAAGACGCACACACACAAAGACACGCGCACACACACACACTCTGCCCACAACAAACACCCCGCTGTGGCTTAATCAGCCTGCACGAGCTTCAGACCTCTATATTTAGAACCGGTACATGTATACTGCACCACACACTACAGTATGCATATACTGTATTGTGCACACACAAGTAGAGAGTAGGCTGGGAAGGCGCCCGGGGCCCGTGCCTCTCTTGAGACGGAGTAACGCGTGGTTTCAAAGGGCTTTCACCTGCTCGTAAGGGTCACCTGTTGACCTGTCCGCAATGATTAACGCGGAACCACCGCCACCAACCAACTCAGCCCTCCTCACGACAGGTGACCTTCATTCTCTGGCTTGAAACGAGACCTCGTTCCGAGTCGTGCAACGGCTCATGGATGGCTCCCCGTGCCGACGTCATGCACACGCCGATTCGCACTTTGGCATAGAAATCATAATCTTTATTTTATCCTGGAGGAATCCCGATGAGCTACATAGCTCTTGTTTTCCCCATAGGTGTCCAGTAGGGGCGGCTAATTTTTTTTAGAAACCACGAACAATACAAATAGATGACATTGCAAAGTATGGGAAATGTAGGTAAGGAAATCACTGAAAACTAACTTGTCCTTATAATTCGACCTAACGCAAACAAAACGTGAGCCTGTGGCCCAGCGCCGCAAGGGGTTGGTAGATCGTGTCAGAGGCTTGCGCACAACTCTCCAAAGCCCGCAGCTGCGACTGCGGGACGGAACGTGATCTCGTGGTGAGTGGAGCCAGTGGGTTCGTGACCCCGTCTGTGCGGACCGCCGAGCTTTAATGCCACTCGTGCGCCTGGTAGCGGAGTTTCTGCCGGCTCGCTGGTCGTTCTCCCATTAGAAGCAAAACGTGAAATGTTGAGGAATTCAACAAACATCCCCGTGTAGCAGGAACCTCGTAAAAAAACATGTTATGAGACTCTCTGAAGCTTTCACTAAATAGGGACAACAGTAGAATTAGTATTGTAACTTGTTTAACTCGGAAAGCGTCAAGACATTCGTTTTAAAAGGGTCCTCCAAGTTGGTTAAAGGTTTGTGGAATATCCCGTGCCCTACCCCCCAAACTCCTGAATCAAACTGGAGGGCGCTGGGCCGATAAAAAACGCCGTGTTGAATCCATTTAGCCGAGCAAACGACACTCATCCCACTTGAAGACCGGTTACATAAATTGAGCAATTCCAGAAAGTGTCACCCCAAATCCGGTTAAAGGACACAACATTCATACTTTCACTCCAAAGCTGGTTAAGGTAAAGTTAGGTAACCAATTAACTCCGCAACCACTCTAATACTGATTCAATTAAGAATATCAATTACTCATACCGCTCCACACCAACCGGTTAAAAAAAGCAACAGCGTTCCATCTCATCACTCCAAAATCACCACCAACATGGATCTCATCGTGATCATCAACCTCACCAACCCCACAAACCTCACTAACTCCACCAACCTCTTGCTGACAATCATACCTGGCATGCAGAGACGGCTGAGATGGAACGGATTGCAGCACAAGGTCTCCAGACCCTGCTGCTGCTGATGTCCGGCTCGGCCAAACGACTCGCAGGAGCAGAGCCTCTTGAGTTCAAGAGGGTGACGGAGGTCGGGCCAGCGGAGCAGGCGACACACGAACAGCAGCGTGGAGACGCGCTGCGCCCCCAGCACCAGGTCGCCGTTGGGCAGCGGCACGCAGCCCGATTCGGCCGAGCCGCGACTCTCGGCCGCGGCCGCCAGCGACTCGAGCTGCGCCACGCTCAGCTGCTTCAAGAGGCCCGTGGCCAGCGCCTTCATCTCGCTGGGCGGCTCCCGAGAGCGGCATAGGCAGAAGCGGCCTCGGCAAGGTCCGTCATCCTCCCCACTGCTGCTGCTGCCACTGTTGATGCTGTTGTTGTTGCTGCTGGCGGCAGTGACATTGTCTTCTGTGGCGGCAACAGCGGCAGCGTCGTTGCCGGCCGCTGCCGCCGCCGCCGTTTCCTCACAGCCCATCGCTCTGCTCCGCCACAGTCTGTGCACCAGAGCCAGGCGTCTGGACCTGAACATACGGCGCGGCAGGCTACGGGATTGGCGCAGCGCGGCGCCGCGCCCGCGCAGACCATGAAGGATGCGGCGGATGACCCGCGTGCCCCGAGCGGCGAGGCCCGGCGATGCCGAGACGTCGCTGCCGCCGCCGCCGCCGCTGCTGCTGCTGCATGCACACCCGCGGCGCCTCTCGTTCGCTCCCGTTTCTGCCCTCGGCTGCCCCAGCCACCGCCAGCACCAGCAGCGGTGGTAGCAGCAGCGCAGCGAGCCCTTAGCGGTGCGCAAAACCACTACCAGAAGCGACTGCCTCGTGTCTCCTCCACTCTCCCGTCTCCTCCTCCTCCTGCTGCCTCCCTGCGCCGTTCCTCTCTCTTCGTCCCGTGCCGTCGAGGGTCTTCCTTGTTTTGTGCCGCGGGGTCGGTAGAATCCACAGCACGTGCGTTTGTCGGACACAAGCACTGAGCCGCGATGACTCCGCGCGCCGTAAGAAAGTGAGCTCGTGTTGTGAATGCGTGGCGTGTGTGGTGGCAGAGATCTCTCTACCCCCCGTGTCGCTCGCTCCGTCTCGCGTGCAGTGAGCGCTCACGACAGCGAGCCGCGATGGAGTGGCGAGGAGGAGGGATGCAGGCAGGGGTGGTTGTGGGTGAGAGGGGGAGGGAGGGGGGGGAGTGGAGGGTGAGGCGAGGGGGGGTGCAGTGTTGCCGGTCTATGACTGCACGCACGCAACACGCGGAGAGGGGAGGGAGGGAGGGGGGTGATGATGGTGGGCGCGGTGGTGCGGGACCACCCCCCCGCCCACTGGGCCCCGACCGCGTCACATGGCCGTCTAGACTCGGTGGCGGCAGCGCGGACTCTCACGCAAACAACCCCGAGCTCTCGTTACCGCGGCAGCTATCTCCCGGCGCGGTGAATAGTCCTCCTAGCCACCACCCTCCTGCCACGCACGACGACTGCCACTACCACCATAGCATACCAACATACTCCTGCTGCTACCAAGCATATTACCGTAGCACTGCACTACCACAGTACCACATCACTCCCATAAGAGTGAATCACCAACACCCACCATACTACATCATCAACAACATTACCACACCATCACTACCACCATACCAAAGACAGGGATCCTCTGTATAGCCTTAACAAACTGTTGGGGCAAGCGCATATATGAAGGCCGGCACGGCACACGAGACAGTGGGTGGCCAGGACCACACCCGGCCGCCTTTGTGTCCCCGGTGGCGATGTTTACACACCGCAACAGGTACTCATTTGATGCTGAGTCGACCTAAGGGAGGCCCAGACACGGCTCAAATAATGGTTTGGCCATGAGCGGGAATTGAACTCGGGTCCGCGGGTTCGTAGGGCAGCGTGCTAACCGCAACACCACCGCTCAACCCCAGTCCACATTACCCAACACAACACCACAACAACACCATGCCACATCACAAACCATCACTACCACCACATTACCATGTCACCACCATACTCCCAGATGCCACCCAGCACCATGAGTTTAACGGGTCACAACTCTGCCGATGACGCCCAGAAAGCCGAAACCAGTTCAGTTTTGCTGCAAAAAAAACGCTGCTGAAAAACTTTCTTCCAAGAGGCGCAGAGACAGGATGGACGAAACTGTTACTTCGTTACAGGACGTCGAAATAATCTCGAAGTGCAGTACCCGTAAATCACGTGACTTCTCTGTCGCCACCCCCACTCCCTGTGAATCCCTCCCCTCTTCCACCCCCTGTGAAAACAGACGCCGCTCCGTGCAGCAGCGTCGACGCCCTCATGCAGCCTTTTCCTACTCCCTCTCCTCACCTCTCCTGATCCCTTGGCTCCAGTTTCTGTGCTTTTTCCATCCCTTTCCCTCGGATTCCCCCATCCTTTCTCTTCCCTCTCCCCTCTACCATACGTTTTTGGTTAACCGTCGAACAAAGACGGCCGCTGCATCGTGCGCTTTCAGATGCGCTTCTGCGGCCGTCAGAACGCTCTTTCTTCCGATATGAGGAATCCACTGGAGCTATGCACTTTTAGATCGGGATTTAAAAATATCGAACTGCTTTTTTGTGTTTCGTGTGTTCTCAATCCCCACGCGGTGCAGATTAGCACGGTCGGCTACGCATGGAGCGAAAGAAGTTCAACAAACACGTACATTACATCCTCGACTCGACGCGCTGTCCCGTGGTGCGGAGCCACGGGTACGAAGTTGCCAGTTTGTGTGACTAGACGGACTTGTACGTGCATTGATTGATTACCTGTCAGGCGGATTTAATACCCAGATCGGGCTTTTAGTTCGTGATTGTGGCTCTGTTGTTTCTGCTGAATTAATGAAAGCCAAGCGGAAACGCGTGGAGACTCGTTACAAATGAACACATACCCGCGAATAACAACACACACACAAACTCAACAAATTCGTCAATAACAGCACCGTGGCCGTAACGTTTCTGATTTATTTAACAGTTGAAGATGCCAATTGGCGTTAATAGCTTCAAAATCAAACACGGTCTGCTTGCTGCACAGATATGTCCACATCACAAAAACGAAACATCCGTCAATAACTTTGTGGCTTTACAATTTTTTGTTTAAGTCTATGTGATATTTCCAGCAATGACCCTTCTTTCTAACACAATGTGCAATAACGAATGCGGTTTGTGCGCTATGAAGGGCTATTATCCGAAACGTCTATTTATTCTCTTTTTGTTTAAGGCCACGGTGTTATTGGCGAATGCGTTGTGTCGTGTTGCTTGTGCATCAATGTGACGACGCAACAGCAGCATGACCAAATCATACTGTGCATACAAATAGGCACCTTCCTGAGTAAAACAAAGCAGACACCGCAGCATGGTTTGCATGTCAGGATGACATCACGGCCTTGTGGTCGCAACGAGCCCAACAGAGCGAAGGCTGTGGCATTTTTTTTTACTTTAAATGTAGACAGCCGAAGCACCACCAGGCAACTGTGTATCGGTTTCATCCTCACTGTGACTCATCCGCACGGCCGTAGATTGCTTCCATCTGCGTTGTCCGCTCCCGGCACACCACGTCTAGTATACCGCCTCGCTCTGCGGCTGCGGCTACTACTTCGTCGCGCGGCAACTTAGTCCTGACCCGAGGGAGAAAGAAAAAAAACCTCAAAACTCGAATGAGTTAATGAAGCCCTGTGTATATTTACATAATCTATTTAATGATATGAGGTGGCCCCGTACCACGTGCATTGTTGCAACATCCAAATGTCTGTGGGTTCTGATAGCACGGACAGATTTTGGTTGGGCTTCATTTGCTCATAACACACCGTATTTATGTATGTACTGTATGTTGAACTTTTTTTGCACCGTACGTAGCCCACCGTGCTAATCGGAGGTGCAGAAAGTAACACTGACGGCTAATCTCGTGTAACACACACAGGGACTGTAGCAAGCACACAATCCTCTGTGCATATTCATTGTTGGGCACGTGCTCTGTGTATTGTTGTTTACAACTTGTGGGTTTTCGGGCTGCACTATTCCACGCTTGGTGTACGGCGATGTTCAGGAGCTGGCAATGTGCAGGTCTGCTAGCCACGATGCCTCTGCACTATTGTTCTGTCACGATTGGGTTCTCGTCATAACCCATTTGATTTGAACACTGGCCGTTTACAATGGCCAGCTCCAACATCCTTTATTTAGAACCTTAAGATAAAAACCGATCCAGTGTTACTCGGATTCAACCAATGCTGCTGGAAAGATGCGCTCACACTCCCAGAGCGATGGTGCAGCGGTTATCGCACTGTGCTACAAACCCGGCGACCCGAGTTATAAAAACATTTTTATTTTACCAGATAAGGCCCACTGAGCTATATAGCTCTTTTTTAGACGCCACCTGGTCACAATTGATAGCTCAACGAAGTGGCTTATCACGTAGAAATATATAGCAGCCAAATACTGTAAACGCATATCTCTAAATGTAGAGGGCAACCCCGGAGGAACCAAAGAAACATCCACACGACTACGGGGAGAAGATGCAAACTCCAAATATACAGCAGCAGGCGCTCGTGGACCTCCCCTAGGTCGACTCAGCCTCAAATGAGTACTTGGTGCGATATGTACAAATCATCACTGGGTAGCTTGGACGTGGTGTTGGTCACCCACCCTCTCTTCACAGGTACTCGCTAAACAACACTTGCCCCAAGAGTATGTAAAGGCTCAGAAAAAGCCGTTGCGGCTAATGGGATGTGTAAAAATATATACTTTAGGGGTGTATTTTGTCGTGCAGAGGAAAAGCTATGGACCGGAGGCAATTATGCCCGCCTGTTTACTCGTTACGTTACACATGTGCTCCACAAGGCAGCTCCATGACTGTAATGTGTAATGTATTTCACCATCCGAGCAACACGGGCCTCTCCAGCCGCGCGCCGCCGCGCCTTTAACGAATGGGGAACCTGGAACCGACGACGGCGGCGTCTACGGGAGGGAGGGGGGGTGGGGGCAGAGGAGGAGGGGGGTGCCGGGGCGTGGGCACGGTCACTTTGCCCCCGGGGCAATCATTGACGCTCCGCAGGAGGTCGGAGACGCAGCGGCGGCGGCGGTTCTATGGCCTGGGGCGAAGGAGGTGGGGTGATGATGGTGATGATGAGGAGGAGGAAACGGGAGAGGCGGGGCGGGGGGATTGAGGATGCGGGGGGAGGGGACTGGGCGGGGGGTTTGATGTCGGTGGGTGTGGTGGGGGTAGCAGGAGACGGCCACGCGTGTGCGGCTCTCTTTGTCAATCCACTGCTGGATGAGGGCTCCGCAAAGACATGCGCGTGCGGGTCTTCGGGAGGGGGGGGGGTACTTCACCACGCCGGTCAGTGGTGCGGGTTGATGAAGGCGGGGAGCATAGTGCGAGAGTATATAAAGTAAAGTATAACACTGCAATTCCCTGCACTGCTCTCTGCTGCACACACCTTCTACATCGATTACAGTCATACCTCCGATCTACGTCTCCCACTTTTACGTCGTCTTGCAAATACGTCGCCACGTGCCGAACACCGCTACCCGGTCAGCGTCATTTACGTCGCTGACAGCGTCGTCCGTCCTTTCTCGTATCCGTCACCTCGGCCTTTGCCTTCCTTATCCCCCTATCCTGGAGATTTATTTTATTTACTTCGTTTCGATATTCGTCGTGGCATCTTTCAGGAACGAATCCCCGACGTAAACCGGGGAATTACCGGATATCGTCTCGTAGTGTTTCGCTCATACGGCGTTGTTGCTGTTGTTTCGACTCAATCTGACACTTGCATATTATTCGCATTGCATGGAAAGTCCTCTTCACTAACCCGCACTGACCAACGTGGTGAGGTATGGTGAAAACAACACAACTGGAAGTGATTCATTTATTTCATATAAAATATTGCTGATAATTAATAATCACAACGATTCAATGCACGCATCGCGACTGTAAACACATATGAAACAATATTTAATGTATTCGTCAATAAAAGGAAAATTATATAACAAGCGACGTTTTGGACAATGACCATTTACAGCACACACCCACGCAAGTTTAAAAACAGGTCCATTGCGCGAAACGTCGAGCTATTATGTTCAATTGAAATGTCACGGTGTTCTTGATCGATGTGGTGAGTTCGTTGTTGTTGATGCTTTTGCACTACCAACTGAATAG